ATATATATATATATATATATATATATATATATATCTGTTTTGAGCCGAATGCGGACTGCGACGGCGTTTGTCAGTAAAATTATCATGATAAGGTATTGTGATTTGTTTATGCGCGTGCGAGATAGTCAGCTGTGTACTACTTCAGACCGGTTAATGGACGGCATTTGTGTGTACATTCACCCTGCTCCTTGCCTATCTTGAACGTCATTTGCACTGCTCACCGCATACATTGTCGCCTTATGATTTAAATTGTTCTTAATAATTTCCGGCACTGGGTATTAAGTTTTTTTTTGACCCCTACTCCAAAGGCTAGCCGTGTTGTCGCCAACGGACCGACGTACTGGTACACTAATTTTCGTCCGTAGCGGTTTTTTTTATTGTTGTGTGCGCTACAACTATCTTATATTATATTTTTTTTTGTCGTGAGTGCCCGAGATTTATTTATTATGTTAATATTGTTTATATTGGCGTCGGCTAAACCTGCCTCCATATTCGTTAGCCCTTCGGGGCTGGTAATGTATATTTTTGTTTTAATGTTTTGAGCCAGTTTTTTTTTAGTGCGCCGTGCCATAAGCACGTGTGGCGAATTTTTTTTATATTTTTTTATGTAGTTTTTTTTTGTATAGATGCCCTTATTTTTATTTAGGTCCCGCAACATGGCAGGCGTGTACAAGACCACCTGTCATGTTATATCCATATTTTTTTGTGATTTTTTTATATAGGTTTTATATTATATTTTATGGGTGATATGTATATATTATTGGTACAATGTGGTGACGTAGTGCATTTTATTCCGTGGTGTCTCAACGTCTTGCAAGCTAAGCCTAACTGCCAGAAACCAGTCGCTTACTTGGGACGTATACTCGCCGTGCTTAGCGGCAATGCTGCGATTAATAGCCGGCGGGTACCCGAAGACGTTCATCGTATTCTCTAACAATAAAAGTGTAGGTGTAACTAGTATTTTTTTTTATCAATATCTGTTTTTTTTCTCTCTTTCTTTGTTGCCCTTTAATTTGTAGACGAGGTTTTTTGACCATTCGGTTTTTTGCCTTGTGTTAACTTAATTTTTTTGTTTTTTTTTTAATAAATTCCCCTTAATTTAACTGAACCATCATATTTTTCTTTTTTTTGCGTGTTCCATCTTCAATGGACTCGTGTATTTTTTTTTCTCCTTTCAAAAATCAACTCCCCTAGTTTATAAGGTACGGGCAACGGCCTTGTATAAGGTCATCCCTCATTAATATGGTTATGTGACAACTGTCACGAGGTTTTGGTGTACATCTACTATCAACGACTCAACGGACATCAA